AAGCACATAAGAGCTCAAAACATCAAAATACCGTAAATCAGAAAAAGGTTTACTGTTATTTAGTTTGGTTCAAAACCTACAAAATCTTCATTGCTTTCACTGTAATTTATTATTTTATTATTTAGGGAGCATTATAAATAGTTATGTTTTTAAAAGAAAGAAAAACTACTATTGTTATAAATAACACGTTCAATTGCACTAAACTATGCATGCCTATTTAAATATATTTACACATGGCTTGTGTATATCGTATATATATATTATTCATACCTTCGGTGTATAGGACGCAGGCAGATTTTGACATCAAATTTTGGAGTAAAAAAGTGCGTCTTATACACCGAAAAATACGGTATATATTCTTACCTGAAGTATTCCGGAAAGTGTGGTCTACGACGGGTCCCGTGTGGTTTAAAGGTGTTGGTCCGCTTTGAAGCTTCCACTCACTGTCATCAAATTTAATGTTGGTCCAACCACACATTCCATCTTCAAACGTGCACCGTGCATTTGAAGGAACTTTATCTACATAATTGAATATTAAAACCTAATCTTAGCCCATTTATGTCTTGAGTTTTCATGGAATTGTCACTACGATAAATGATATTACTAAAGGCATACTTAATACTAACAAAAAAAGAAAAGACATTGTCAAGGAAATTTGTCTTATCACTAGAAGTAGAGAAATGGTCTAATGAATTCTGTCTGACAAGGAAAGTCTTGCTTTTTTTTTTAAGAGGACATCGTCAAAGAAGGATTTATTCAAAATAAAAAAGAAACACTATCTAATGATCTTCTTTTGGTCACTAGGGAATAGTTATTTTGAAGTTTATTCAGTCGATTCTCTTGGTTTAGGAAAAAAAAACTCCACTCACAAATAAGTTGTTGTACGAATTTATTTTTATTACTTGAAGTCATTTTTAAGCGCTAACAGAGAGTTCGAATATTTTTTATTAAATGTTATATAATTTGTTTTAACTTGACAAAAAAAACCCAGAAAAAACAAACTTCGAACGTTATTCTTGCAAGAAGTGCAGGACAGAAATATAAATCACGTACCAACCAATCCGTTTGTGTGTGGGAAAACTCACCCCTTTGACCACGTGAAGGCCCAAACACTTACCACAATCTTGTTCTTCATCCTCGCCTTCCATACAGTCTCGGCTGATGTCGCATACTTGGCTGCGATCGATACACAACTGATTGGAACACATAAAATGTTTCAGTTCACATTTTTTCTTTCCGCTGTTATCTAAACCAAAAACAAAAAAATTCTCAAATACCACAATAAACTATTAAGTATTAGGTATTTGTGGATAGTATGTAATAACAGTGAATGTTTCAAAGATCGATTAATTATTATTTCTAGTTTTCTTAAGAGTGAAACTAAACATTAGCCGCAGCCATTAGTTTTACCACATGTTTCATATATTGATCAACTTACTAGTCAAAACACGTGTTTCACATAGTGATGATCACAATTTATATCATGTGTTGAAAATTACGATTTATGCAATATGTTTTTTTTTTTTTTTACACAAGTTGTGTTAAATAGTATCACTACTATCGGGAAGTATTTATAATAATTGACTTAGTTATTTTGGTTTTTGTAGTTAATTCACAGATAGTAACAGTAATATATCTCTGACTCAGTTGTTTCGATTTTTTTGTATTGCAGTCACAGATAGTAACAGTAATACATTTTGACTTAGTTCTTTTGGCTTTTGTATTCAAGCACGAATAACATCAACCACACTATTTTGAAATGTGTTATTTTGGTTCTTGTAGTCGTATATATACATGTATAGTCCACCTGTTTAGGTCACAAGTGAAGGTATTTTGTTATCCTATATTCCATTATTTAAATCTGACATTATACGAAAAATGCACATCTACTGAAACACGCACTTGTCTCACAGTTGATCAACTGGATATTGTCAATCGCTAGATGAGCAGGTGCCACGTCTCCTTCCATTATCTCCAGAACTAGCTGAAAAGGCTGACTAACACTTCCAACCTTCGATGAGAATTTTTCCCACCTGTAAGATTACAAGTTGAAAAGGCAAAGGAGAAAGTTTTCTAGCATCAACTCTCCCCACATTAAAAATATCTTGAAAATTCAAGTCAACATTATCACCAAAACAAACTGTGAACAAAATTTAATATTTCTCGTAAATTAAGTGGGTCCTCTTAAAAAAAGTTTAGTAGGCGAGATTACGTAACAAGTTCTTATCGCTATTTTTTTTCAACTTGTAAATGGAGACAGTTACAGAGACGGTGGATTTTGTACAATACTGGCCCACAAAATTGTTGGCCCGGCATGGCCAGGTGGTTAGGGCACTCGACTCGCAATCTGAGGGTCGCGGGTTCGAATCCCCTTCCCACCAAATATACTCGCCCTTTCAGCCGTGAGGGCGTTATAATGTGAT